GCCAAACACAAATACTCTCAATTTATATTCAAAAAACTATAAAATAATCTATCTCGTCACTATATCCATATGCTGTTGATTTGCAATAGCTTTACCTATCATTAAAATACTATTAGCTGCTTTTCGTTCTGTATATGGTTTGCCAATTCTATTTCGAAGACGATTATATAATTCTCCACCTTCCATACTAGATAGAAAAAAGAAAAAGTCAAATCAACAAGTAAAAAAACATGAATTTATACATGCCATTCCATAATAACATATAAACATCGCTTTGATTCAAACATATTTTCCTATATTAAAAAAACAAACGAATGTCGAAAATTTTCGAATAACAAAAAATCTTTTACGTACATAAACATCGAGTATTTGAACAATATGATCACATCCTTCACAAGCTTTTTTATGTAAAATAACTTCACATCGAGCTCTATTTGAATCTTTTATGACCTAAATTAAAAATAAAATTACTTTGAAGTAAAAAGAAACAAAAAAACAAAAAAGCACATATTTAAACTAATTTACTTTAAGAGCACATTTACGGTTGGTTGCACGATGCCAACATGCCAACACTGCACCATTCATGCCAGCACCTAATAATTCTCCTGATAAATCATATTCATCTGTTATATCATTACGACGTGTTGGAAATGGAAATTGACGATATTTTTCCGAAATATAAGCTGGTCTATATAAACATATTCAATTAATTTTTATTTAAAATAATCAAAAAAAAAATAAATTATATAGTTAAGAACGCTTTTTATACGTACGCTGGAGCATCGAGATCAATAGGTTTTATATCAGGAAAAATTCGCGTTGGTTGCTGCTGTACATTAGAGTTTTCATTTATAGATGTGCAATAAGAAGTATCATTTGTTTTCTTATATTTTCGAAATAACTTGATTAGATTCATGTTTATAAGAACAAATTACTCTCTAAAAATGATTCGTCTATATTTGAAAATAAGAAAACATAAAAATAAAAACAACTAATTAAACTAATAAACACATGTTGCTTTTCTTATTAGATGGATATTTATACGTTGCACTATACTAATCACTTTCATAATAGACTTATTCAAAGATTACCTTAATAAATTCAAAAAGACAAGAGAATCGATAGATGCTAGTGGCACGGAATTTAGCCTCCTCAGATAAGATTTTTGAAAAAAAAACACATCTTTCAAAAATCTTGCTAGAAGACTTAATAATCCGTAGGAGGCTAAGCTTCCTCTGCTTCAACTACTGAGATCATTTAAGAATGTGAATTCGATCGATTGTATAGAAGCTTTTGAAACAGATAATTATCGGTCAATCATTGGCCTCTCTCTTTCGTATCTATATATGAATAACTGTGCTAAGCGTCAAAAATACTAAACGAATGAAAACAAAAATTGTATTTAGCAATTTGATTGGTATCACCAACAACATTACTTCCTTTAATTAAAACATGGAATTTTTAACATAAAAATTGTAATAATAAGACGAGCAACAACAAAAAGTAATATCTAAATCAAAAATTGATTTAGTAGATTTTTATTTATTATTCAATAGCGC